ATGGACAGATAGAGCTGGGTGTCATCTGCATAGCAGTGTAAATGTATGCTATGTCTTCTAATGATGCTGCCTAGGGGAAGCATGTATAATGTAAACAGAATTGGTCCTAGCACTGACAAATAATGTTTTGTGTTCTTCTTTACAGCCTTCAGGTCAGCTGTAGCACAGACTTCAGGCTTCCGTGGATGAAGAGTTTAACGCAGCACCCCTCTAGATGAATTCTGCCTACACCTCCAATTTATTTATTAACTCTGTGAAAGTGGAAGATTTCCCCACAGAATAAGAGAGAGAGAGAGAGAGAGGGCAACTATCCCACAGGAAAGAATGAAAAGAGCTGAAAGCACCACATTAGATCTGATGAGGTTGGTCACAGGAGACTTTATATGCTCTTAAATTCAGTCTGATTCCCACTGTGGTCAAATACACATCGTGGTGATGAATGTAATCGACTCTATGTACTTTTCTTTTTTGAGGTGAGATAATTGTCCAGCACACACCTTTAGTGAGTGAAAAACGAGAGTTTGAGTTTAGTGTGGATTTCCTGTAACACTCACAGGGTCACATGTTTCTATACAGGCTCAAAAACACAATATTCAGTCAAATGTCCCGCAGGCTTGGAACGTGGAATTCTTTGGTTGGTAAAGATGATGTAAAACAGACATGTTTAACCATTAGCAAGGTTGTCACCTCAGCGGTGGTCCTGAGAGCCTTTTACTGTAATCATGTGGGTCATTAATGGTCATGAGCCAAGCATTATTACAGTCACAGGAGCCAGGGTATGACTGGGGGTTAAATCCCTGCATTTTAGGCCACTGATAGCTGTTGTCGTGAGCCACCCCCTCTGTTCAGTGAAGCTCTTTCAGTTTCTCTTCTTTTCTTTAAGTGTATACGTGCTGGAGAGCTGGCACTCTCTTTAGGTTGTGCCGTGCATCCATGGAGAGGCTCTCTGAGGACCAGGAGACGAAGGAAAAGTTTCAAAACGTCCACAGGAACACAGAGAAAGAGCTAAACTGGGTCAACTATAACTATACCCTTTGAATCCAGCAAATAATAACAGCATCAGCAGCTACAGCCCGGCTTGTGCTCCGCAGCCTGCGGCAGACTGCTGGTGCGTCCTCAAGTTGCAGATCCAAGCAAACCTCTTCCCACACTGGTTGCAGCTGAAGGGTTTCTCCCCCGTGTGAACCCTTTGGTGTTTTTTCAGGTTTCCAGCCTCGGAGAAGTGCCTCCCACACGTGTCACAGCGGAAAGGCTTCTCGCCTGTGTGCACTCTCTTGTGCACCTCTAGATTGGACAGGCCAGAGAAAGCTTTCCCGCAGGCTCCACATACGTAACTCTTCCTGCGGCGCTCTGTGGGCAACGTGCATGCGGCACGATTTCTATTAAGGTTAGTGAGGAGAGTTGTCCGATGCTGGGGGGCGATGGCCACCTCAGTGCTGGCCAGCGGTGCCATGGCTCCCCGGACTGATAGAGAGGACTGTGGAGCCCCAGCTGTCCTGGTTTTACCTGTTTTACTGACAGCACCTGTGCTGGAGGACGGTGTGATTCGTGAGGGAGGAACGGCGCTTTCCTGTTGAGAGTAAGTGCTGCCATTTTGAAGCTGCAGCACTTGAGCCTGTGCTGATGTTCTCCTCCAGGAAGGCTGGGAAGATCCTGGATCCTGCATCCTCAAAGACGTGGGTGCAGAAGTCCCTGAGGAACCAGAGAAAACCAGGAATCAGCTCGCTGTCACTACACTCGGAGCCAGGCAGTTACATGTGATGGTTTCCAAGATGAGCTCTATTAATTCTCTATAGGCTCGTCTTGTGTATTTATTCATTTCTCTCAGTGGTATTTCTGTGTAATACAAGCAAATATAGATATATATTAAAAATAAAAGCACCAATGGCTGCACCTGTAAAACATACAAGTAAACAACAAATTCATACAGCAGAAACACGCAAATCAACAACGAGAGCAGCTAAAACAAGCGTGTGCACGCACACAAAGGTTGTTGATCCCTCAGTTTGAACTGTCCATCCTCTCCTCCTCCATCACCGTGTGGCACGCTGCAGCCACCATCAGGGACAAACATCCTC